ACTACTACTACTACATGCTACGTGTTATTATTCTTGTACTGTTCTTCATGTCCTGGAGTCCTAGCTTCGAATTTGTTGGATTTGCTTCTCAAGATGATGAGCATCCTGACAACTGCAGGTAGGATGTGGACGACAATCGCGGAGGCTGATACTGGACGCCAAGCAACAAGCAAGATGTTGATGCTGTGTTGGTGCTGGGCGTGACAACCCATACTGCAATGTAAAGATCAGCACGATGACGAAGATGATGTTTCTCATGATACAGATGCAGAAGGTCAATACGATTCTGAATGTCATCAGCAGTTGCAGTAACGAGCAAGTGGTATTGTCGTCGTCGCTGTATTCTTGTCATGCTGCTGTCCGGGCTCTGGCTTTCGAAGCTACCATTGCCGTCTTCCTTGACTGACTGAGGGTAATACGGTAAGTAATAAGTAAACAAGCATACGTAAATACACACATATATGTTAGTGCTTTGGACGACAGCGCATATCTAAATAGATAAATAAATAAATAAANNATAAACATAAATATATATATATATATGTATATATACAATATGTGTATATAGTCATCCAAAATCCAGGACGAACCTGGCTGACGATCATGTTGTTGATGAAGATAAGACCATTGGTATGATGGTGGGGGGCGGCGGTGGCGGTCGCGGTTGGTGGCTCAGTGACGACGCTGTTGAGAAGAGGATAGTTTGTGAGTGACAGTAACACAGTGCTGATTGCTGACGAGAGCGACGAGAATATTCCTGGTACTCATGTTGATGACGGAACCAGGGTGATGAACATGCTGTTTTCTCCGTTGTGAACAGTTGAACAGCATGTTGACGATGATGACAAGCATCATGTTAATGACTGATCTCGTGGCACCTATTGTGCGACTACAGAGCGTGATGGTCATGATGATAATCATCATCATCGTCGTCGTCATCATCATCAACCTAGTGCCTGAGCGTGGTGCTATTGCCCTTCTGGGGCTAGCGCTGCAGCAGCTGCCTCTGGTTGTGCCGGGTGGCAGGAGGTGGCGGATGGTGGCGCATGGTGGTGAGTGGTTAAAGCCTCTGTTGGTGAAAGGGGGATTGCACGTACGCGGGTGGGTGTTGACTTGAGGCCGGCCGCGGTAGACGGTCTTCCGTCATGACAACAACTAGCAACTACGCAACCTTTACCTCTCATGTTTGTTGTCTGTGGTTTGGTGGTTTACTTGATGATCCCAGCCTTGACATGCGAGCGAGCAGGGCCAGGTTGTAATCGTAATGTCGGCGGCCGCTGGTAGAAGAACTTTACGGGCACATGAGAATCTGCCACACCAGCAGCGACGAGACGCTTCTTCCTTATGCAGGGGGAACTGGACACTCCATGTTGAGAGTTGTTGAAACAGTTCTGGCGTATTGCGGCTTCAACAGAATTGAACTTTGGCAAAGCCCAATCGATCTTCATTGTCTTGCATGGTCCGCATGGTAGCATGCCTCTGCCGCTCTAGGATACAAGTTGCAGGCCTGCAGGCATCTAGCCAAGCGTGCAAAACTTAAGCTTCCATAGGGTCTTTCGCAAAAATCGCCCTGCTGACCCCAAATACTTAATCTGACCTACAATCGCAACAGCAGAGTGCGAGCGTCATGTAAGGCAAAACCACTTCGAGGACCAGTCGGTCAAAATCAGCAAGGAAGGCCGCGTTCCGGGCGATCTGGTCTGACAGATACCTTGTTTGTTGAGCAGCTTGCGGTGTTCCGAAGATTGTATTCTTTGTCTTCGAACTTCGGACCCATTGGACGTTCTTGCAGCGACCTGCTTAATTCCAGAGCTTGTCTGCTTACACGACAGGTTGAGGCAAGTAGAATATATCAAACTCGTCTGCCCTAGACCATCTCTTTCACGTCCCGTGCCACTACGTCTCAATGCCACAAGCCCTGAAGCCCCCTGTTGTACAACCCAAACTACGTCGCGAAACCAAACACCCTTCAAGCAGCAAGCCGTGCACTGTGTTCTGTTTAAGGGAGTACTGTGGGAACCAGGTGCTTTTGTGCGTCCTCGCATTTCCCACCGTTCACCGACCTCCAGGGTTTCAACTTCGGCAGCTGTCAGGGATCATGCAGCACCACACGTGGCTATCATCACCTCTGCAGTAACCGTAGTACAGTACTCCACGAAATGGTGAGAAGAACCACAGCATCTTCATCCTGGTCATAGTGCAAAAGAAGCAAACAAACCGGCTATCGCAGTCTAGGCTGCGGAGGACAGTGGCTTGGGACTCGGGGCGAGGGCCTTTCGAGTCTGGGCAGCCCAAGATAGCTATAAGGGTTCGGCGAGCAGGGTTTCGTGGTTTGTTGAGAGAAATGACACTCCAATACCGATGTGCATTCAAACTCAAACGGGTATGCGGCAAAGGATCTCACCAACCTCTGCACTGAATCATATACTGAAAAGTCTTCTCACGACCGCAAAAGACTTCAGAACCTTAAGTGAGAACTGCGTTAGCAGTTAAAGTAGCAGTTAAAGCTCATTGCAGGCGTCACTAACCCAGTGCCAGAAGGTCCCAAAAGACGTGTACGGTTCAGGATTCGGAGGACAAAGCCACGCTCGATAAGCTACAGCGACTACTGTTAGATTTGAGAGGCACGTTCGGTTCGTGATAACCCTACCCACAGCGGCCAACCCCTTCAGTTGACGTGTCTAGAAGAGTGCCCGAAACAAGAGTGGCTTTCAATCCTAAAGCTCCCATCAAATCTACCTCCCACCTCCACGTTGAGTCTGTAGGAACGCAAAAGTCCTCCAACTTGTGCTCTGATTCACAGCGGAAGCTGCCAACAATATCTGCATCACATTGCTGGAGCAACTTGACAACGGCCTCGTGCATGTTGTACACATTGCTATCGTATGCAAAAACCTCTTCTTTCAGAAGACTTCGGGGCAAAAATACCGTTCCGGGCTGCTTCTCATCACCATGTGTTGGGCTCGGGTCATGCTTGCGACTCCGAGGCGCATGCTTGACACGATGGGCACTGGAGCGAAGTGTTGGAATTCCCGACAAGTAAGGTATGTCCACCTCGCCGGATGTCTGGGAAACTGCCGGATATCCTGCGTCCTTAGAAACTTCACTCCTCGGCGCCTCAATGCGGAGGATTGCTTTGTGATTATTTGGAACAGTGTATATAACTCCATTTGGTGCAATGATACCTCCCTCCCACTTGTCGAGAACTCTGTGTGGGCTGGGCAGGAGCCAAGTTGTCACAAGAGGCGGGTCTTGGCTGCAATCAATACGAAGTAGGCTTTCACCTGCGAGCGGGATAGCATAGACATTCTCGAAAAGTGTCAAACCATTCTGCCACTTGTTTTGACAGATACGTTCCATGTCAAAAAGATTGGGACCAACTTCTCGCACATGTAACGTCTCCGTGTCGACTTGCAAGACGCGCTCACTCCCACTCGGGAAGCAGTAGACCAAGCCGTCTGAACCAGTCATGGCACCAAGAAACTTGTACTTCCGGTCGGTGCGGTGCCTCCCACTTTTCACACAGAGAGTGTCTCCAATCTCGAACATCTCTGGCTCAAGCCCAGGACGAATGACGAGGACAGAGTCGGCATTCGCGGGGACAGAGACAATATCCCCGTTTGGGGCAGGTGATGCACCGTGCCACTTGTGCCCACCGCTGCCGTAGTCTCCATGTAGCGTGATTGCCGATGGTGAGATCCGCAGAACGTGCGGGGAGTTATGTGGTATAGCATAAATGGCCTGATCATGCTTGCCGACAACGCCACCGTACCACTTGTATTTGCCAGGAAGCTCCGGCCCAACGAGCTGGCAAGTTCCCGAAACAGGATCTATCTTCAGTACGTGCAGTGCTGACTGTGGAATGCAATAGATCGCCTTGTCAATGGGACAAATTGTTCCACCGTGATACTTCCATTTGCACTGACGCTCCTCCTTAGCCTGAACCGGGTCTGAAAAAACATCGTCATACGGGATGGGTATGGTTGTTATCTTTCCGCTGGGAACGTCAATGCAGAGTACAGTGTCAGCATGACAAGGCAGGCCATAGATCTTCCCACCGTCGACATTGACACCTCGCAACCACTTGAACTTACCGGGAAAGATCGGACCGGTTAGTGTGACGCGATCCGTCGTCGGATCGCAGACCATAACACGCTTCGCATGCCCGGGGATGAAGTAAAGCCTGGGTTCACAATGCAGTGTCGATCGGCCAAGGACTATAGAAATAACTTCACTAAGGATATCTAAGGATCTTGACCAAATCGGAACGAAGCTGCTTGCCGTCCACACCGACGTTGCCACCGAGATAAAGTGTCTGTCCTGTGACCATCCCGTCGTCCCAAGATCAGGACTCGGGCCATGCGGGGGGTCTACAGTTCAGGTCTGTCTCACACTCTTAAGCGCCAAACCCCGCGTATGTCGGTCCTGTTAAGCTATCCTCGCACCAGAGATAGGAGAGCCTGGGACCTCCAGCAGGCCGATGATCAATCTCGTCCTCTGGGCGACCCACGTCCTCTTTCCAGTTTGGATACGAGCGAGCGGCTCGTAACTCCAGCCAGTCGGGAGTGGCCCCTGTATGATCCGTATCCGCAGTTGGAGATGGCGAGTCTGGCATCGCGTGATCTGAACATGACAGACTGTCGACACGCAGCGCGCTTGCAGGGGCAACAGCCATGCAGGCAGCTCGGACCTCGATCAACAAGCTCGAAGATCCTGCTTAAAAAAACACATGTGCGGTGGAAGGTCAGCCGAAAGTACTCTACAGATTGTCTCCGATGCTCCTGAAGGCAGAAATGAAAGTTGGTGATCAGTGCCAGGCTCGAGCGATGCAGCCAGGGCTAAGCACAAGGCTCCTTTCGGAGTTTCCACTTTGGGGGAGATTAGACTCATATCACTTATGTGCGGAACTTTTCCGCAGCATGTAGACCGGCATGCAAGTGTGTACAATTGCAGCATCTTGCACATCTTTTGTGGTACTAGTAGTAGTTATATGGCATTTCAAGGGTATCTGTGTACGGTATATACGTACACGTGTGTGTGTGTGTATATATATATGTATATATATATATATATATATATGTGTGTGTGTGTGTGTGTCTCTGCATCTACATATAAAGCATATTATAGGCAATAACAAACAAATAGATATATATCGCTATCTATATATATATATACACAAGCACACAAATATTTGTGCTTGGTTATGTTCGCGCATGTGAACACATACCTACCCAGCATGACCAATACCGACACAAGGACTCAGTGACGACATATACAAAAATAATGACGAGGGGCAGGTCCCATTGTTGCACCAAGCCCATATCCGTTTATTTGCGAAATGACATCGGGTGCTCTGTGTGTATGTATGTATGTATGCATGTATGTATGTATGTATGTATGTATGCAGGTATGTATGTACGTATGTAAGCATGTATGTGCTGATGTGTGTGTGTGTGTATATACATATAAACATTAAAAACGTACGCATGTAGCATGTATGCATGTATGTATACACACACCTTACATACGTACTTAGATACATAAATCACACTACGGTTACGTTGCGTTACAAAACAAACAACAAACAAACAGAAACAAACAAACAAACAAACAAACAAACAAACAAACAAAGCAAACACACAAGTATACATACATAACGCGTACATACATACATACATACATACATACATACATACATACATACGTACATATATACATCCATGATCACGTGCATACATACATACGTACATACATACATACATACATACAACCATGAACGCGTACATACATACATACATACATACATACATACATACATACATACATACATACATACATACATACATACACACTTATGCACGCACATACATGCACACGTACACATACATACATAGATAGGTAGATACATACATACATACTTGCTTGCTTGCTTGGACACAGTCATGCATACGTACATACATACATAAATACCTACATACATGCATGCCGTCATGCATACAAACCTACATATGCACGTGCCCACATTCAGGCCATCCAGCCATCCGTCCATCCATCCACACATGCATGCATTGCATGCATTGCATTACCCTACATACATACATACATACATACATACATACATACATACATCAGTACATACATGGTGCATACACACATATTCTGTGCGGAAAAATATATATATATATATATACATATATATATATATATATCATACACACACAGACACTTAATGTCGCACGATGAATGGTGCCTGTTATCGCCATTGAATTCCGAACGACGGACGCTCACTGGAAAGCCTGGAGCTCGCCGGCCCGCCGCTGATGTTCCTGTCAGGCAGCACACCGGCCCATCGTGACTCACTTCATGATTAATGATCGGCCCCGTCTCGCGAGAGCACTCAACTGTTTCTAAGGGGCCGTATGGGCGGCTTGTAGGAGAAAGGCGGCAAGAGACAAAGGGAGGACCAACTCCACACCCACAGGCCCAATCGGTAGCATCAGTCTTCTATCTGAGCATGCCTACTTCTCTATACAGCGGGAATGAAGCTATCAAGTGCTTTACTGTTTTTTGTATTCGCAGCCTCATTCCTGTCTGGTCTGTCTTCCTTGTATGGAACTTACCTGAGCCTGCTTGAATCTTAGCTAGATCAGCTACATCTGATCCTATCGGCTCTGGGCATTTAGAATACAGCTACGTACTTTCCAACCACACGATCATGTCGAAACATGTGAGTAACTCACAAGCAATTCTCAGTTTGCTCCGATGCAGCAGAATCAGTCTTTGCTGCCTTCCCAAGACCCGTAAACAGCTTCTCGTGGAGTTAACTTGTCTAATCGGCAGAAGCCGACGTTTGTGGGTCTCGGTCGTGGGCCAAATCACGACCAGCACAGGCTGGGTTTGAAGCGCTGGACATGGAAGTCTTCAAAGTCATCTACTACATAGACTCGATGCTCCCTCGTGTTGCAACAGGCATCGGCCGACGGTTTCAGGCTCGAGATCTCTTTAGATTCTCACGTGCCGTTAGGTTCGCGACGAAGGGGTTTAGGGACATGGTGATACTGCTGACACGCCATACCGAATGGATGTACGGCATAGGTGTGCGTCACCCATAATCTTCTGCTATTGGCCCTCGGCACAGTCTCGTCCTGGTTCCAGCAACTCACCTTCGGTGGGGCCAGAAAAATGCTTCAGAATTCAATTCTTTGTACAGATCTGCCGATCCGAGAAAACTGTGTGCGTCCAAAGTGGAGCTCGAAAATGTGAGCCGGCGGTTTCAACCAGAAGTCTTGGAAATGGTGCTCGCCTCATGGATGTTTAAAGAGTTCATCTATACATGCTGCCAGGAGATGGCGACTTGTGGGGTTTCCAAACGCGACCCCTCAGCTGCTGTTGTGCAGTGTATCTTGGACCAGCCGCTCTGAACGATCCCAAAGTGTCGACCACAGCACCTGCCATTCCACAGATTTTAGACCCGCACAGTTTCCACAGAGCAAACAACTGCGAAGACAGGACAAAGCCAAGGTAAGCAGTCAGGCAGCTGGGTACTAATTTAGGCGGCTCGCGGCTGGTATCCGGTTGGGCCATTCTTCAGGATTCATCTGGAATGCTGACACCGAGCCCAAATCACTTCAATGAAAACCCCAAGACCTCATCACCGCAACGCGTTGTAAAGCCTGGCATCGCTGCTGTTTTCTGCAAGAAACTTCTTGCAGAGAGAATACTACCATCTGCTACCCACAGGAAATGGACCATGACCACCGACACCCACTCTTTACCGCTACCAACCTTTGTTTTAGGGAAGATCACCTCGTCGTACGAGGAACTCCAATTCCACGGTAGTGGAAATTTGCCTCAGAGGTTCGTCGCAGTCCGCCCTACTTGCCAGCATCAGCAACGATGTCCGGCAGGAGCTATAAAACGTGGTAACAAACTGCGGCTTCGGAAACGATATGATGGTCAACTGGCATAGGACCAGGACCAAGTTCTCAAAAGCCTAGCAGGACGTAGCTCGCACAGAGATACGTATTTTGGGTGCGTTCTGCATGTCATCTGTGCAGTCATGCCGGAAAATGAAGTATGAATGCGCCAACATTCTTTGATCCAGCAGCTATGGTTGCATCTTCGCTTTTCTGGTGCTTTGCTGCAGGGCGATCGGCATCATCAAGTCTACACACACACAGCTATGTATATGTATAGGGGTATGTATATATGTATATAGGTGTAATCTATGTATGTGTACATCCATACAATACATGTCTACATACATACGAGTGTTATCGATATTTATGTTCCGATGAGTGACCATTTAATACCCCTTGGGCTCGCCCTTGCGCACTCTTGTGTGTTCCTTGCGCGCGCACGAATTTTTCATGCCTGCAGCTTGTATTATCATGAACTTCAGTATTTGGAGTACCAAAACATGACCCATCGGGCATCGCAAGCGCTGTGGTTTCGGGCTGGAAGCTTAGGAAAGGAAGGCTCCAAGATCTAAAACACACCATGAGGAAAGCTCTGTCACATATTTTGATATATAGCCATGGTGCTGCCCTTGCGCGTTCTTGCGCGAGACACCGTGGTTTGAGGGCAATTTCGAGCGTGTGCATGAATAATCACATGTGCATATATATATATATGTCTGCATCTATGTACATACATACGTATGTATATATATATATACACATGTATGCATATGTATGTGTATATCTGTAAATATGTATATGAGAGTTGGTCTAAACCCTTCTCTTGACTTTGCTCTACAGAGGCGATTTATTCATATTGTAACATATAAACATATATAATTATATATACGTATATATATATATATATCTGTATAATATAGTTATACATATTGATTCAATGTTTACTTGCGTAGATACAGACTTGTTATCTTGCCAAGGGGCTCAAAGCTGGAAGACCTTGCTCCCAGTAGCCTGTGTAACCAACCTGACCGGAAGCTTGCAAATCAGTGAGCACTCAGCTTGCAGAAGCTTAAAACGAACTGGCTTTCAACCATACCGAAACACACAGCAGTGGTGCAACTTCACGTCTGTGCAACCCAACAGGGCCCGGCTATGAGCATCAATCGCCAACTTGGCACACACCCGTACCGAGCTTGCATCCGTGCCTGCCATGACAGCACGTGGCTGTACAATCCAACACCCTACTGGTGTTTGCAGCTTCCGATTGCACCCTGAACATCCCCGAACGCTAAGATGTCCAAAACACTTCTCACAAGGGCCCAAAACAGGTATCGTGCAGGCTGCACAGAGGACTCAGACGTGAGTCTGAGCAAGAGGAAATGCCGCATTGCTATGCGAGTGTCTGTTTTCAAAGTGATAACACCTGCTTTTTTGGTTTCGCTCTCCACATGCCAGTCAGGCTCGGTACTTCGGCGGGCCTGGGGCGTCCGGCTGGGAATGGCGCTGCACGTGGTCGCCAAAGCTGCGGGGAGCTCCGCCGCTGACTCGGGGTCCTCTGGTTCCGGATATAGAGTTTTGGATCGTTTATTGCGTGTTGCTGGAGGTGATCCTGAGATAATGAAAGGAGTACTCCACATGCGATTTATGTCAGCTAGTGGAGGCCCGGAGGTTATGAAGAATTCAACTGAGGGGTTCGGATTGGCGGATTGGGGTTAAGAAATCTCTTTGACAGCCCTCGCCTGGACGACGCGCGTGAAGTAAGCCAGCATGTCTTTATCCCCCTGTGCCATGCCTGGCATGTCAGAGCACACGAACTTCTCAAAAACCAACTGGTCTAGTGCAGTGCTGGCAGTTGCCGCTTCGCACATTCAAGGGTTTCGGATCGAGTCTGCGTATGGCCGGGGGTGAAGGGCGAACAGCCTTTTCTGGCCTGCGCTGCCTGCATAGGTAAAATCCCATTGACAAGCTGCCTGCCTGTCGACACCTCACCAACGTAGTGATGACGACTTGCACAAGCAAAGCTCGACATCAAGCTAACGGTTATCGTCTCACGTTTCTGCAAAAGCACCTAAAGTGGAAGCCCGAAAGTTGGAACATCTTTATCCTGATGCCCTTGAAGCAGGGTATAGGGAATCCCAGCACTAATCATCCTTAATCCATGTTCGAACTTTCTGGGATTCACTATAAATCGAAAACGAACTGAGTACCTGTGGAAACTTACGGGGACCATTGACGATACTCGTACAGGATTTGCAACTTCACTGCTGAGCCAAATAGATACATGGTCATCCAGAACCGCGAATTAGTCGAATGCTCAGGGCAATCGCCTGCAACCCAGATCCAAGGTACTCTGGATGTGACATTGGGGTCGCAGGGATTGCGATGGAGGTGGAGCAATGCACCACTCACTTCGTCTCGCGCTTGTGTGTGTGTGTGTAGGACAACGAATATGAGAATTAATATGAGGAAGAACATGAACATGAACATTAATATGAACTTGGATCGGGATTGATACATAGATATGTGCATAAATAGTGTGTATATATATATATAACTATAT